TCAAATTCAGTCCTGCAACCCTTAATTTAGGTACTAACTTTGACAACATTCTGCTTGCAATTCATCTCCTTTTTATCTCTCAGCATGGTTAACCTCTTAAATTGACCTGTTTTGGCAGCCAAGAGAACAATTTCAGGAAGCATTACAGGTGGTACAAAAATGACCCAGGAGATGATTGACTTCTGCGCTGCTCATAAAGTTTACCCCAAGATCGAAGTAATTCCAATTGAATATATAAACGAAGCTCTTGAGAGGCTAATAAAGAGGGATGTCAAGTACCGGTTTGTGATTGATATTGAAAACTCCCTGAAATGAGATCCTGGAGGTAAACTAAATGCAGTCTTCTGCAGAACATTACATGCAGTTTTTGATACGTGAATGGTATGCCTAAGCTTATATAAACAAGCCGATAGAACCTGTATCTTGTACCGTGTTGGTTTGAAGCAATCAGAGTGCAGTAAGTGAGTGGCAGGAGGTTTCCATCTGTAAAAGAAAGTTTTATGCAAAATAGATTTGGTTAAGATTTGCATTATATTAATAGAGTTTGTGTAGTTAATCCTTGTCTTTCGTCAATATATGATACAGCAATGTTTTTGTACAATGTGGGCCATGGTTACCATTATTTTTGGTAGGGCAACTAAAGCTCTCAAATTTTTATCTTAATTTAATGGATTGGAATGAATTTTATAATTATATATTTTTAAATATCATAATTAATTATTTAAAATATATAAACTAATAAAATTCGAGATAAAATTAATGTCCTTGAGAAAAAAAGACTAGTGACCATAACCTTGACTTACAATGTGACATGGAAAAGCTCATTTTCGCATGCGATTTGTATACGATCTCTTATCAGTTATCACTTCCAATTATTGGATGCTCTGTCAGCAGGCCAAACATATATGCATGCGGATGATTCTTTGTCATATATTCATAAAGAAATTTGTGATGGATTGCAGCTGAAAATCGGTCCATTGACCAATTAATTTGTCAATTAACAAATATGCTTTTGCCAATTGTGCCAAGACAAATTTATTTAACCTCAAACATACTGTATTGTATTTATATGGACCCGAGTGAGATACAATTTACACACGCAAACCAAATATTTCAAACCTTATAACAAAGAGAAAAGTGCAACAATCCGTGATATTCATGGTAATAGAGCCATCTACTATATAAAATTAAAATGGCAACAGCTTGAAATATTATATATTAAGGTTTGGACAAGCTTGTTCCCTTAACCACTGTCACCGGGCATGATGCATGTGTCACCACATAATTGCTCACACTGCCCAGCAACACCCTGTTAAAAGAAAAGAAAAGAAAAAAAACCCATGAACGTAAAACAATTAATGGGGGAGGAAGCATATCTTTTTAATCAAATTAGTACTGACTAATACTTTAGGTAGTCTGAGTTAAGGAATTTACTGTGAATTACCTTTTGATGGAGCCTAAACCCCTGCTTCCAACAACAATAGAATCAAGCTTGAGATCTTCCACAGAATCACAGAACTTCTCCCTTGGATCCCCTCAGTACACCTTTGCCACCACTTTTGCCTGCTCAATTAATTCCATTTACATATAATCACAAACATCTCTCAATCTAGCGTAGTACATAATAAAAATGCAAATTAAACCCAGAAAGAAAGAGATAAACAAAGGCATACATACCCCTTTGGTCCTTGACACTGTGTCCAGAATATCGAGCACCTCAGGATCATACTTGAGCCCGTATTGCTTCGAGAAATTGATTTCTCTAAATTCCTCAAGAGGAACCAGAGCTGAAACCCAAAATATCAAAGCCAATGAGAATGAATATATACAAGAAGTGAAAGGAGTGAGATAAATTAGCAAAATTAAGGTTGGAAATTTAAACCTCTATCCAAAGCTAAATATACAGTAAAATCTTGAAGGGTTATATATGAGCGTACGTGATCCAGCGTCTTCAAAGAGCTGCTTACTGGTGTGATCAGCTTTGGGAGGCTGGACATGGATTAAGATGACTCGATCTCCGTTTTCAGCTAGATTCTCCGCTGCCCACCGGAGAGCTGAGAGTAGTCCATGCCGATTCCTACAGTACGTGCCTTACCCATCAGTACGTGCCTTACCCATCTTTTCTCTCTGTTTTTTTGTCCTCTACAGGGGAGCTGGTGCTGTTGTGTTATTACATGACATTTATTTTGTGTAAATGGAGGTTCCTGAAGGTACTAGCAACAAGCCATCAGAGAATATTTAGAGGATTTTATTTCTTGGGCATAAAGAAAAATATATTGCATAGACAGAAAGGTAGAAATGGAATATAGCATAAAGGGTTAAAAGTTGAAAAGTATAATGATAATACAAGCAATATGAATGCTACTTAAATTCATTCCAAATAAAGCTCCTTCGGCCTTTGCCCACTAAAATATTAATTACTTTGAGGTGGATTGAATTTTTTGGTTTCTATGCTTTTTCCTATTTATGCTCATTTTTTAAAAAAGTAATCTCTATAACTTTATGTTAAGAAGAAGGGATTATACTTCAAGGAAAAAAAAATTTCTAAGATACCATGCAAATACATTTAATATGATATTTCGAGTTAATATTAAAGGTATTATAACCAATAAAAAATAAATAAATATCATACTTAGAAATTTTTAAAATTTCATCTTTGGTTATTGTGTTGAAATATTAATTTTTCTTTTGCCATCAAAGTATCATATTTAAATTGTAAGTACACTTCAATATGAGATATAAAAAAAATTTTAGTATTAAAAAATGGGGTATCACAATGAATTTCTTTGCTTCCTGGTGTGATCAGCTTTGGGAGGCTTGTTAGCTTAAAAAAAAAAAATTGTATCCTTGGGCATACTTAAGAGTTTCTCATTCAGTTTTCCCTTTTTCGTAAGTTTTATTAATTTTCAATGACAGGAAGCTGGTATTAGTCGACTAAACAGCAAAACACACATGAAGATAATGCTAAAATGGATGAGGGGAAGAAACATGCTAAAGTTGTTGTGCAATCACGTTGGT